GAGCGGGGATATTGTTCCTGAAGCAAAGCGGAGCGGTAGCCCTTTATTTTCCTGCTTATCGCGTCCTTTCTTTGAGAACAGCGTTCTGCCCGAGTTTCCTCCGCTATGAATAGCGCAAGGCCTGCTCTTCACCAGGCTTTTAGGCAGAACCCCTGCCCCTGAGCCAAAGGCTGACCTTGACCTTCCCCGGGCAGCCCCGCAGGAAGCACCAGTAGCACAACGGGCAGTGCTCCGAAAAACAGCATCTCCCCTCTGCCCCTGATTCTCAGTATTTCAGGGAGAGGAAAAAAAGCTTCCTGTTCCAAGCAAGACAGCACAAAAGAAGTAATTTGGCAAACGCGATTGGAATATTGAAATAAACCATAACACGGAGCATAACATGCTTGAGAAAGGAGCGGGGATATTGTTCCTGAAGCAAAGCGGAGCGGTAGCCCTTTATTTTCCTGCTTATCGCGTCCTTTCTTTGAGAACAGCGTTCTGCCCGAGTTTCCTCCGCTATGAATAGCGCAAGGCCTGCTCTTCACCAGGCTTTTAGGCAGAACCCCTGCCCCTGAGCCAAAGGCTGACCTTGACCTTCCCCGGGCAGCCCCGCAGGAAGCACCAGTAGCACAAGTCCATCTCCCCTCTGCCCGTCCATCTCCCCTCTGCCCCGTCCATCTCCTCTGCCCATCCATCTCCCCTCTGCCCCGTCCATCTCCCCTCTGCCCCATCCGCTCGGCCGGGTCTGTGCTGCCACCAGCCATGCCTGGGGCAATGTCTGCACTTACGTGTGCCGGGGACAACGGCAGCTTGCTATAGACCAGACCACACCAGACCAGACCAGACCAGACTAATTCAGTTGGAAGGGACCTACAAGGATCATCTCATCCAGCTGCCTGACCGCTTCAGGGCTGACCAGAAGGTAAAGCGTGTTGTTGAGTGCATTGGCCAAATGCCTCTTCAACACTGCCAGGCTTGGGGCATCGACCACCTCTCGGGAAGCCTGTTCCAGTGTTTGACCACCCTCTGGGTAAAGAAACGCTTCCTGATGCCAAGTCTGAACCTCCCCTGGCACAGCTCTGAGCCATTCCCAGGCCTCCTGTCGTTGGATCAACAGGGAGAAGAGCTCAGCACCTCCCTCCCCACGTCCCCTCCTCAGGAAGCCGCAGAGAGCCATGAGGTCGCCCCTCAGCCGCCTTTTCTCCAAACAGAGCGCTCAGCCGCTCCTCGGAGGCCATGCCTTCCAGCCCCGTTGCCCTCCTCGAGGCATTCAAGGACCTTCACATCCTTCTCAAAGGATGGGTCCCAGAACCGTAGCTCTACACGCATGACGAAGACCTGGTTGCAGCGCTGTCCTTGGCTAGTGGCTAGCTCCAAGCTAATAATAAACTTTCCACACCGCTCTGTGCCTGGTAACTCATTGAGCTTAAATACTGTGGTGAGATAGGTGAGCGTGCGGAGATCTGTCGCCCGCTATCGAAATACACCGGCTAAAGATAGGAAGTGCCATTAAACTGATGTACTAAAGCACATGCGGCACACCACGCATAAAAGGTTCGCCATGTTAAAGTACAAAACCTCTCACGTGGGATGAGCGTGGTGATCTTTTGGGCACTAAAATAACTTGGCTGTGGTGTCAGCACAGCTCACTTCAGAAGATTTTTGGGCATGCCTTAATTAGAAACATTGCTCCAGAAAAGCAGCTGCCACAGATTAGCGAGAAGTCACCCAAAAAACCACCAAGCCTGTTTCACGCGGTGTTTTAAACAGCCTGGTGAAGCAGACAGCAGCAAGTCAGATCCACCACCTTGTCCTCATGTTACACCGATATTTTCCGATTGTCTGGCCGGAACGGGGCCGCCGCAGCCAGAAACGAGACACGAATACTGATGGCATCACCCGCACTTCCACAAGCTATAAAAAGGCATATTTCCTTGTGTGCAACCCCGTGCATGCCTGGAGAGACCCACAAAACTATAATTACACCGTTACGCGGCCGAGCGCTCGGCGATGGCAAAGCCGAGGAACGCCTGGGCCAGGGACAGCGTGCTGCAACTTGTCACCGATACCTTGTAAGTCCATTTGACAGCGTTACATGGAGCACTTCCCGCAGATTAGTTGCAGCTCTGCTCGCCGGCAGAAAAAAAAGCAGCCTCAGCTCCCAGCGGGATCTGGGATATAACTTCCATCGGGGTTTCCCCCGGGTTAACGGATAGGTGTAACCCTCAGCTGATAAGCCCTGCAAAACCATTTTGCTTTCATGAAGACATATAAGGGAAAAGACATCGCGCTTGCTTCAAGCCAGCCTCTAAGAAGCAAAAATCAAAGCCTAAAAAAGGCACTTTGATATTCTCTGCGGGCAGAGACTATAAAATGCCCCAGGGCAGTGTTAGCTCTGGTTGCAAAGAGGGGAACCGAGGCAGAATCAGAGAATCACTGAAATCTCCTGGGGACCAGCACGCCCCCTCATTTCTGAGCACCATCCTAGCTCCTATGGTGTTTAGGATCAGCCGAGTCCCTATAGTATTTACCTCCTGGACACCTTCTCCCCAGTAAATCCTCCTCCATGGTGAGCAGTGGGTATTGTCCCCCTTCTTTGCGGCTGTACATGGTACATCGTGCAGCCCGCTGAACCCATGCCAGTACTCTGCAATTTAAAACCCTCTAAAGCAGGTCACCCTGAGCACGCAGCAACAAAACCCACCCAAAATTCTGCTTTTTAAAAAAACGTTTTGGTGCTATCTATCTTGTGCATCCACCAGGATGAGATCTCCTGCTACCATCCTCTCCGGAGCGGCATACCTGCCCGGCGGCTGGGGAGGAGACGGCCGCACCGGCCAGGGTGAATGGCCAGCAACTTCCAAGAGCCTTGAAACAGGAACCCACGGCGCGAGGAGCATCTGGGAAGCCTTAGCACTATGTGAACTTTGCACAGCTCAGGAACAACTGTTGCTATAGGATTTCCATACATCCCTTCACACGCTGGCTCTGGTGACGAATCAACTCCGCGAGAACGGATCAAATGCCCGGGACTCCAGCTGAATCCGAACCCCAAAGCCTCTCCCCGAACCCCAGCCCCCAGGACGCAGCGGCCAGAGGGAGGACAACGGTCCCAAGCCCCCCTAGCCAGGCTCCAGGGTCCCCCACCATGGCCAGAGCCCACCTCCAGCATGCTGGGGCCGCGGCACGGATCCTGCTCTGCCCTGGGATGCTGCTGCCAGTCGGGCCGTCACACCGTCACCCCTGGATGCCAAGTGCCTTGGCCTGGAAAAATGGGACAGACTAAAATTAACCCTGGGCCTGCATGCCCCGCGGGTTGGGATGAAACCTACACCCCGCAGGACGTCAGCGGGCGGCACGCGGGGCTGCCCGATGGCTGGCACAGACGGGGGCACGGGGCACGTCCCCTCTGCCTGGGCTGTGCCCATCTCACCGCCACCCCAGACCCCCGGGGAGCTGGCAGGGGGCACACAATAAAGCCTGAACAGAGCAAATCCCCTCGTCCCAGAGCTCAGCCGGAGGAAAACCCGCCACTGCCCCCCCACCATGGGTGCTGGTGAGCCAGAGGGATGCCTGCCATCCACTGGGATTTGGCTGGTGATTCCCCCAGGTCAAATTCTGCTGGATCTTGGCTCCATCGCCATGGGGCCATAGGCAGCCGGAAACCCCTCGGTGCTCCCGGCGGAAACCCGGCCCTGGGCTCTCACACACGCTCTGCGGAGAGCTGCGATTCGGGACCTCATGCCCCCCATCCCCAGGAGGCTAGGGGACAGGGTCCAGCCCATGGTGGCCCCCTGGCCCCAGCCACCAGCTGCTCTCCTGCCCTCACCGGCGCATCTCCTGGTGATGCCAAAGCCCAGCAGCCCTTCCCGGCCCCAAAAATATTGGGGCTAATTCCTTGTCCACTCTGTTCCCATGCAAAACGGGATCTGGCTGGTTCCCTGCAAAAGGGAGATCCCTAGGGAAAAGGGTAGGGACCCCACAGAAGCCCTGGGACCCTCCCCACACCCAAGGGCCTTTCCCGAGCCCCAGGGACCTCCCCAAACCCCACAGACCATCTTCAATTCCCACGACCAGCCCCCAGCCTTCCCTGAGCCCCCCAGACCTCCCCCAGGGTCCGAGGCAAGAGGGGCTGGGGGCTCCCCCAGCCTGGGAGCATCCTGCAACCCAGCCCCAGCGCCCCTTCCGAGCCCACTGGGAGCTCGTCCACCAGCACTGGGGCTGATAAGGCAAAAAAACCCCTTTCCCCTCCCAAATTAAGGAAATCCCTCTGGGACGGGAGCACGAACAGCATCTGGGGGCACAGCAGAGGAGCTGTCACCCCACGGCGCATCCTTGCCCCCTTCCCATCACCCACCCTCCCATGGCAGGAGCCCAGGCAGCCGCCCCGGTGCACGGAAACCTTTATTTTGTTAAAAGGGGGAGCGCCCGGTGGGACCGAGCGCTGGGGTGGGTGCAGCGGGGGTGCAATGCCCCGGGGGGAGCAGGGGACAGCTGGGGTCACCCATGGGGCTGCGGCACCTTGGGCCACGCAGGAATTGGTCCTCGGTCACGGCTCACGCGTGGCAGACGCTGAGCTGCCGCCAGGGTTTAGAGGAGGGGTCTTCCCACCAAGACCCCGCCAGGCAGGGCGCTGCGGCAGCTCTGAGACCCAGGGGTGAGACGGGGAGGGGGGGACTGGTCCCTGAGCCCTGCGGCAGCGAGGGGAGGAGCAGCCGGGAGCACGCGGACAGCAAGCCAAGCAAGAGCCGCACGCAGGAAGCCAAAACCCAGGGGAGCACAACTCGAGCCCCCTGAGGCGGGGGTCTCCAGGAAGGCGCAAGCCCCCGGCACGCCACCGCGAGCCCAGCAGAGCCTGGGGACATTTACCGAAGGCTGTCGGTGGAGCAGCTCCTCAGGCGAGCAAGGGGCAGAGCCACCAAGGTCCCTTCGGCGCTGCCGGCCACTGTGGCTCAGCGGGGGGGATCGGGAAGGACAACCCAACCTCAGCCTGAGGGAAGCCGACGCTGGCACCGGCTGAGCTAGCGGATGCTGCCGTCTCCCTCGCCGCTCTGCAGCTTCTCCCGCTCAATGGACCACACCAGCTCCTGGACAAACTTCATCTCCGAAGCCACCTGCTTGGCCAACGCCTCGTAGTGGTTCTCCAGCTTTCGGTAACGCCTCTTGAGGCCGTTGGCCACCTGCACCACGCTCTTGGTCTCCTCCTGCGCCTGCTTCTTCAGGGCCTCCGTCTTCTGCAGCTCCTGCCGGATCTGGCGGAGGTCCTGGCTGATGCTCTCGTTCTCCTCCTTGTACCATGACTCCTTCTCTTCATAGATGGACAGCAGGGCCTCAATGTCCTCCTGGAAGGACTTCTTGTTCCTCTCCAGCTCTCGGAGGCTCTCCTCGGCTGCAGCCACCTCCTCCATGACCTTGGAGAAGCGCTCAAAGTTGATGTACGTATTGTTTGGCGGCATGCTGGAGTGGGACTTGATGGTGTACTCCTTCAGGCGCGTGGTCTTTAGCCGGCGACGCTCGGGCTTCTTGCAGTTGTCTTCATTGCGGACATTCCTCCTCTTGATCACCTGTGGAGAGGGACAGCCGCAGGCGTGGGGCGCAGCTGGGACAGCGGGAGCCAGACAGCTTCGGCACCCACCCACGGTCTCCCAGCAGTGCGGCCACCAGCAGCACCAAGCCAGCCCCAGCTGGGGGCTGGAAGAGCAGTGGAGAGCTGCCGTGCATGAGCACCCACCCTCAACCTCTTGGATGCCTGACACCCAAAAGGTGCCAATTCTTTAACTTCTTACCTTAATCCAAGGGTGTTCCAGGCTCTGAGCGATGGTCATCCGCTTCCTGCAATGACAGCTAGGCTGCGACCGAGGGGCAGAGGCTTTGCTGCCTCTGTCCCAGTTAAACTCCTGGAAGAGCAGCTCGGATCCTACCACCTTTGGGGCATGGATGAGCCCAGACAAACTCGCTGCACTCAGGGGCCACCCCAGACAGGGCCCGCGCCCAGCTCCCACACCCTCAGCCAGCCTCCCAAGAGCAAATACGTGCAGAAGAGCCTGCACAAACCTCCCAACCGAGGCACAGCACCACTGCTCCCGCCCCAGCCCAGGGTCCTGGGTGCTCCAGTCAGCCCTTGATCCCTTCCAAACCCCGTTCCCTCCTTTTCAGCTGAGCTGCTGCACCCTCAGGGTGGTCCCAGAATTCACCCCATGCCTGACGTGAGGGAGAGACTTTGATTTCAAGATGTTTTGCAACACCAAATCCTACAAACAGCACGAGGGGCATGGGGGAATAAATGGGATTGATAAACAACCAGCACAACAGGGACAGACAAAGGATGGGCTGGCAGCAGGCAGGCTCAGAGCTAAACCCTAGTGTGGGCAGGAGACGTGGGAGCTGCCTGTACGCAGGGGGTCGGGGCAGGAGGGACCGTCCCCTCTCCCAGGGTAATCCCCAGCTCTGCTCCCTGTCTCTCACTTGGGGTCCTTGACGAGCAGGCGGCGGATGAAGTCCTTGGCCAGCTCACTGGTGTTGCTGAAATACTCCTCGTCGAAGTCATAGTTGACGGCGGATATGTTGGTCAGGGTCTCTTGCTTCGTTTCCCCCAGGAATGGGGAGGCTCCGCTCAGCCTGCAGCAAGAGCGGGCTGTGACACCCCAAAAAGGTGACAGCCCGAGGCGGGGGACTCGTCCTGCAGAGCCCCTCTCCCCCAGACTCCCCTTATACTCACAGGATGTAAGTGATGACCCCGATGCTCCTGGAAGAGAGAGGAAGACGAGGCTGAAGCCCCACAGAGTGCTGTCGATCCCCTCTCCCTGCGCTTTCAGCAAGAGGGGACATACACCGGCACGACACCAGTGCCGGGGGCCAGCCACTGGTGCCACTGGAAGGTGCTTGGGAGGGGACTCACTCACCACATGTCGGCCTCCAGCCCCAGGGGTTCGTAGTTCACGATTTCTGGGGCTTTAGAAGGAAAGAGGGGAGAAAACAGGCTTATTCTGGGGGAAAGAAGCCTGTCCCCATGGACACATCCCAGCAGCTGCCCAGCCTGCCGCACCAGGGCTTCGGGCATCTCTCCGGGATTAAGCCAAAGCTTTCAGAGCCCAGAGCAGCCCCACAGGAACACCGCCAGCCGGCTCTCACCTACAAACTCCGGGGTCCCAAATATATTCTTGAATTCATTCCCAGCTTCAATCTTGTGGGCGATCCCAAAGTCGATGAGTTTAATGCGAGGGTTTGGCACGTTCTTGTCCAGCAGCATGATGTTCTCTGGCTGCGGGGGGAGAGGAGCCGGCGTTTACCCCCACACACTCGACCGTGGGAGCCTTGTGCTGCCCTGGGCTCCTCTCCCCGGAGGAGAGGACACGTCCCTCAAGTAGGGAGAGATCCCAGAGCCAGCCCCACTGCTCCGCAGGAGCCGGGATGCTTGTCCCCGCTCCCCAGCTGCCAAGCACGGGGTGTTTGAACCTCCCAGACCTCACCTTCAAGTCGAAGTGGGCGATGTGCTTGGAGTGCAGGTAGTGCACCCCGTCCAGGATCTGCTTGAGGAACTGGGTGGCCTCCTCCTCCGTCAGGGACTCCTTCTCAGCCAGGAAATCAAAGAGCTCACCACCCGAGACCAACTCCAGGATCAGCACCACATCCGTCTTGTTCTCGAAGATGTCGTGCAGCGTGATGATGTTGGGGTGCTGGATCTCCCGCAGGATGTCCACCTCCCTCTCGATCTCCTCCCGGCTCACGCCCCGACGGCTGGACGACAGCCGACGCTTCTTGATGAATTTGGCAGCATATTCCAGACCCGTTTTCCTCTCCCGGCATTTTCGTACAATGGCAAACTGACCACTGCGGGATGTGGGGAGGAGGTGAGGAGAGGATCTCCTGCATCGCACGTACCAGCGTGTGCTTGGCAGTGGGGTCAGCACGGGCAGGAGGATGGGGGACGCTGTGGGCAGGGATGTCGTGCCACACAGGACACACGGTTTCGCCAGGGTCTGTCGGGAATTGGGGTCTTCCTGGCACGCAGCCAATGATGCCTTCCTGCTCCTGGGGTTTACACACCCTGGCACCACCAGAGCAAGCATGGAAAGCCCAGTGCTGCCCAAGACGGAGGAAGGGAATACCTCCCAGGGATGCAGCAGCTGCTGACCCTCCCCGGGCTGTTCGGGTGCTGCAGTGATTGCCCAGGGTGGGAGATGTCCATCAGCCCCCGTTTCCAGCCAGGAGCCCCTGGGCTGCTCCCGGGAGCGAACCCCAAAGCCCGGCGGCCCCGGGCGACCATAAAGCTCTGATGGGGAAGGTGGGCAGGGCAGGGAAATGCCTGAAATAAGAGTAACCGCAGTCGACAGCTTAGTTCAAAGCGCGCTGTGGTCAGGGGCTGGGGAGAGGCAGGGCTCTGGGCATCGACAGGCACTTCAAGGAGCTGGGTCCTGCCAACACCAGCATCACTGCTACGGCAGGGCCCCGACCCCTGTCCCCCCCCCCCCCCGCCCCAGCCGAGCCCCCCACAGCCCCTCTGCCAGGATGCACAAGGGCCCCTCAACGCTTTCCCCTGAGGACGAGATCCAGCCTGCAGCCCCAGGCTGCTCCCTCCCGGTGACGTGCGGTCCCCGTCACTGGCCTCCGCGCGTGCCCGGACCCAACGTTCTTTTATACGTCCCCGGATCATGGCCGGGGCAACCCACAGCCCCGCCCGGGGCAGGGACCAGCCTTGCCCAGGTGGCATCTGGCCCCCAGGCACCACCTCAGTCCCCACGGCTCACACCAGACCACAGCTACAGTACAGCCCCGAAAGGACCCGGAGCAAGCCCCTGGAAGCTCCCCCCCTTTTAAAAATAATGCTGAAGCCACCCAAAATGTTTCCACTGCACAATTATTTCCCAGTGCCCGAGAAGCCCTGTGCCCAGGCAGCCATGGCTGCGGCAGACCCCAAGTCCCGGCAGTGCGTCACGGGGCTGGCACGGCCGAGGCAGCGCTGGAGGATCCAAACCCAGCCCACACACCCCCCCACCGCCACCGCCTTTGCATCCCGGATGATTAAATCCCATTTGCATGCAGTGATTCACCCCCAGATTGTGTCCCGCAGGCGCAGAGCAGGGCAGAGAAGGGCCGGAAGCTGCCAGCACCGTCCCGGCAGCCCTGGCCAAACCCGGACAGGATGGGAGCTCTGCAGGGAGCTGCTAGGCCTGCCCAGATATAGGAGTGAGTTTAACGTTAATTAACACCTTTTTTTTTTAAACATATAGCTGCTAGAGGTGCCTGGCTCTCAGCACAGCCCCCTGTCCCCAGACCCACCGCCTGCAGGTAGCACAGAGGTGGCACAGGGGATGCCACCAGCACGTTGACACCACAAGGGCTGCAGCAGCTGGGTGAAGCTCTCGGCCTGGTGCTCAGGCAGGGGGTGCAGCCATGGAAGCCCTCCCAAGCATACGGGGTGTCACTCACCTGCCCAGCTCTTCCCCCATCTCATAGAAGTCCTCCACATTCTCCTGCCGGAAGGTGGACATGGCTGCAGGGCCCTGGCAGAGCTGAAGCCACCGTGACTCTGCCAGTGGAGGAGGACGTGGGGGAGCAGCCGGGGATCAGCACCTGCAGCACCAGAAAAGGGGGTTTATGCTCCGGGAGCCGCACATCGACAGCAGCAATGGACCCACTGTGGCAGCTTGGGGCCAGGACCCAGCGCAGGGACCCCATCCCCCTGGGGGGACAGAGGGCAGGGAGCCCCTGAATGTCATGGGGTGGCTGGGGCCAAGCCGCAGATTA